GACAATGATTCCAATGGCTGCAAGTAAAACAAATTTACATTCCGGTACAAACCATCCTCGGCTGTAGTCTATAACGAAAAATGTGAATTTCAGCAATATAAATGATAATGATAAACCGCCGAAATTCAGTAGGAAAGATATGGTGGCATATCTATGCCATCCAATTAAATTTTGTCAACATAAGATATCGCGTCAAGTCAAGATAACTATCACGTCAAGTCTAGATAACTTGCTGGAGTTGTCGAGATATCCCAACATCTATCTCCTCTAGTCAAGATAATCTATCACATTTTTTTGCAATAGCTATCTCGATATGACGAGATTATTTATCTTGTATCATGACTAAAATTGTTGCATTGACAAGTACTGCCTCTTCGTAATTGCTGTCATGATAACTGTATATGTTTGTATGTACATGTTTTTATATAGATGACGTGTTACGGGTGTCTCAGTCGTTTTCTAGTGAAACTATGCGGGCCTCTTTTATTGAAATTATTCTTCAAATTCATCACTGCTATTGAATCAAATTAATTTTTTTTCATTTGTCTATTGGAGGAATATAATTTCTAAGAGATAGAGATTTTTGAATATAAACCGTTCCATAAAATTTCACAGTTAAATATGAAACAACCCATTAACTTAATTCATAATTTCCATTTTTTTATATACTAGTATATGTACATGTGCATTTACAGTTACAGTGACTGCAATTATGAAGAGGCAGTACTTGTCAACGCAACTATTTAAGTCATGATACATGATAAATTATCTCGTTATATCGAGATAGCTATCATAACAAAATGTGATAAATTATCTTGACTAGACGAGGTAGAAGTTGGTGTATCTCGACAAAACCAGAAACTTATCTTGATATGACGAGATAGCTATCTTGATTTGACGCGATATCTTATGTTGACAAAAATTATGTGGATGGCATAAATATGCCACCATAGCAATCACATTTTTTTTGCAATAGCTATCTCGACATGACGAGATTATTTATCTTGTATTATGACTAAAATTGACAAGTACTGCCTCTTTATAATTGCTGTCACGATAACTATATACTCGTATATGTATGATGTATGTATTTATATAGATGACGTGTTACAGGTGTCTCAATGGTTATCCAGTGAAACTATGCGGATCTTTTCTATTGAAATTATTCGTCAAATTCATCACTGCTATTGAACCAATTTAAATTTTGTATTTGTCTATTGGTGGAATATGATTTTTAAGAGATAAAGGTTTTTGAATATAAACTGTTCCATAACATAAAATAAGATATATAAAATAATATCTCTATTAAATATTAAACAAACAACCAATTTACTTATTTCATAATTTCCATTGTTGGTCATTTCTTAGTTACTGGCATGGCATAAGTACAACAATTAATGCAAAGAGTCAAACATTTACTAAAAACTACCGATAATAATATTATAGCCAATTATTGATTTCTGATAAACAAAAAAATAGTTTATTTAATTAAATAGTACATTTATTGAGTTAATGATTGCAAATATCATATGTAATTATAAGTAAAAAGCTTATTGGTTTGGTTCACACATACTTGTATTTTATTTTACTGGAAACAAAGACATGGTTTGAACACAGAGTGGTTCAAACTGAATTCTTCGAAATTATGCATGCAATACTTATTAAACTAACAATTTGATAGAAGATATCCGCATATATCATTGGAAAATGACCAGGCACCCGTAACATCTATTTATATACTAGTATATGTACATGTGCATGTACATATACAGTTATCATGAGTGCACCTATGAATCGGCAGTACTTGTCAACGCAAAATTTTAGTCATGATACATGATAAATTATCTCGTTATGTAGAGATAGCTATCACAACAAAATGTGACAGATTATCTTGACTAGATGAGATAGAAGTTGGCGGATCTCGACGATACCAGAACTTATCTTGATTTGACGAGATAGCTATCTTGACTTGACGCGATATCTTATGTTGACAAAAAAATTATGTGGATGGCATAAATATGCCACGATAGGGTGGCATAAATATGCCACCATAATAAGAGACACTTATGGCAGGACGCAGATTCTAAAGCCCTTTAATTTCTTATTATTAACAAAGACATGTATTTTTGTATATGCATATGTTGCTATTTATTTAAATTATTATTCATAATGGTAAAGACACTGGTTGACTGTTTCTATTATATAATTTACTTTATTGGAAAAAATGTCATAAAAATAATTGCATGGATTTGTTTTTAATTTTTGTTAAGGTTACTTAATGGTACTTTCTTCACACGACCTAGGAACAGTTCTCAGAATCTGTCAGATCTTTGCCCTTCCCAGAATAGCTACGGTAAATAAAGATCTCTTGTCTGTTTGTCCCCTAAATTAAAGTGTCTGCGAAGTCAAGTACAAGTTCAGTTCAAATGATCATTTTTTTAAATAAAAATATACTTCGAAGGTTTCATTTTAATGCGAGTCCTTATAAGCAAGATATAGGCTAAAATGTATGGTTTTCAAAAATTCACACCTTTACGATCTCGAAAACGAGGTTTAATGGAGCGGACGGAAGTGACGTCATAACACAGCTGGTACTGAATGAAGGATTACAACGAACATCGTGTGTTTATTTAGCGTAAAAATGAGTGGTAAAAGCAAGGGACGTATGTGTGTAGTTGGGTGTAGTAAGAGACAATCGGACAGTGTATCGGTGCATATTTTTCCCAAAGAAGAGCGACTGAGAGCTGCCTGACTAGATTTGTTAAGCTCACTAGGGCAGACTGGACTGGGCCATCGCAGTATACTGTGATATTCAGCAAACATTTCAATGAAGACTGCTATGAAGCACAGCATTCTTTTATAAAAGAGTTTGGATTCTCATCGAAGAAACGCCACGTCCAGGATCCATACCTTCCGTCTACCCGAAGCGAAAACGGGACGATCTCAACGAGGTATTTCTGGAGACCCCTCGTGTTTCAGACCGCCGTGTTCCTATAAAGCGTGAGGCAAACAGGGTAAGTCCATTAAATAGTCTCTGATTAAATAAAAATTTGCAATTGTAAAATATGGAATAAAACACGATATCGAAGACAAATGATTATTTTTATTTTAGTTCGAATTTCCTCGTGAACATCTGTAAACTTGAAGCTAAGCCTGGGTTGCTGAGTAAATTAGAAATGACAAAATATTACAAAGTTTAGAGGGTAATTTTTTGTGAGCATGGTTCAAGTGTATTTGCATAAATCACCACCTTACAGATCTATAATATACCGATATATTTGGGTAAAGCTGAAAGAATAATGTATGTTTTAGAAAAAGGAAAATCCCAAACAAGTAATTGAAATGCAGTTTTCTATTTTCAATTTGCCTTCACTGCAATAAAATTGGATGGTTGAGTCTGTCAATTAAATTTTCATACCATCAAAAATAGCAAAAAACTTGCAGAAATAAGGGTAGGGTCCTAGGCCCCAAGTGATACTATATTTTCTGCATATGAAGGAAGACTACAATAAATATTCAACTTTTTTTTAAAAACATTTGTATAACTTTTAAATAAGAACAGAATTTTTTTATGTTTTAGAATTTCATAATACTTTTTATTAATGAGTAGTCCTAAATTTCTGATTGTTTAAATATTACATGTAGGTATTAGCGGAATACCTAAAGGCGAATCAAGTCACTGATACTAGCGCTAAAAAGAAGTCAAAGGACATGGATACAGCCACAGACATGGTGTCAGCCTCAGACAATCCGAGTCTACCTGATCCGTCTGATCAAGATCAAGCAACTGATGTAAGTACAGCATTAAGAAAAGACAGTCTTCTGACTGATCAGTATAAATGCTTTGCCTTGATCACTATACATGTTTAAATGAACAACAATTTCATTAATTTAGTTTACATGCTAAATAAACCTAAAAGTATACAGAATTTCATGCCATATGTCAATGCATAGTGCAGATCAGCCTTTTTTATTTCAGGATCATTCTGACGAAAAGAGGACAACATCATGTCAGACAACAGGCCCTGGTATAAGGAGTGTCAGAGTACAAGTGTCTGCCAGGCTTAAAGAGAAGGGTTTGTACTTCGGTCTTGATAGAATTTGTGTTATGCTTCATTATGTTTATTGATGTTGAAATATTGTAGGATCTAGTGTCACTTTATATGCAAAAATGTATCGCAAATAAGATATAAAGTGAATATAATGAATAAGATATAATTGCATCTATACATATACAGGGTGCAGGTAAATTTGTATTTTTATGATATTCAAAATGCAACTGTAAAGCCTAATATGCAGGTTTCACACTGTTAACTCATTAATATTGTGTCTTTTTTAAGGTGTTCAAGCAGAGCTGCAACCAAGAGTGAGGAGTATTAGTGTACAGTTTAATGGAAGAGATGATGTTCCAAGTTCCCAGTGTGTACGAAAACCAGCTGTGACCCATGACTCTTTTAGTAGTGGTGAATCTCTGGGTACTCCAAGTGACAGTGAGGTTGCCTCCTATTTTAAACTTCATGTCTAAAATAATGAGTTAATTGCATTGCTATGCTAACTTATTATTGATAAATACCACAATATTTCAAGGATCTTTGTAGTGCTTACTTTGCCTTATTCGCTGAATCTCAAATGAAATCTTAGTTTATGTAGTAAAAATAACTTTCTTTTATATTCAATAGGATCAAAAGCCAGTGAGAAAATATCAGATCTGATACTCTCCAAACAGATGCAGAAAGACATCCCAAAGCTTTCCCCCCTCTTTCAGACTTCCCAGACTGAGGCAATTCACAGCACCATCAACCATTTTGCCCCTAAGATGATTTCATTTTCATACCATGGCATGTATTGCAGGTAAGCATTCACAGAAAGCTGTATTATTTCTTACCATGCTTGTTCCCCCTTTTATCTTTATTATGTTTGATTGTAAGATTTCGGTTATGTACTAATTGCATAGAAGTACAATCATTTACTATAAAAAATGTGTATTACATTACAGACTGATGATTGCTGCTATCCGCTACAATGAAAATTCATCTAGGGCTCATGCAGTTACCAGATATGGTGATCTGCAATACAAGGTCAGCTTCCCAAAATTTAAACAGGGTGACTACAGTACACGGAAGTTAACAGTGGAGCCTACATATGGTACATATTACAAAATCACTCTTCTCTTGATCTCGACACCTCAAATATCAATTACAAAAAGTCAGAGCCTATCACTGTTTATTCATACATAACAGTTAATGGTACTATACAGTGAAATTGTAAAAATGCAAATTACAGTGAACATTTGGAGAACTATTTCACATAATGTCTCTGGTCTTTCAAATTCCAGGATATACATCCACACTGATGAAAGAGACCTTGAAGTCAGCAACTGAGACAACACTGGAGCCCATTATCTGTCTGCCATCACTGAAGCCATCACCTCTCTGCAGCGCATTTGTGCACCCTGAGAAAAAAGAGGCAGTATGCCATTTTAGGTCTCGTTTTTCGAAGAAGGAAACTACTGTTTGAAAGACCGAGCTGGATGTAAAGCCATTATAGAAACTGACATTCTCGATCAAACACTATACTTTAGAAGTAGACTAAACGATGGCATATATATATATATATATATATATATATATATATATATATATATATATATATATATATATATATATATATATATATATATATATATATATATATATTATAGTGTAAACTGTCATATTCATGTATGTGTATTACCGGTATGATATATGGAATTTTTGTAGATCCATAGAACTGAGAGTGTATATCCTCCCCACTGTAAAAATTAATTTAAAATGGGAACATGAAAGCAGGGTCCACGTCCCGTTCCTGGGTGCAAATTTATTTTTGTAGCTGATGCTTTCCTCTTTATTTTTAAAGTTTACAGTGAACATAAAACTTTTTAAAGAAGTTTCAAATATGTAAATTTTTTTGTATTAGATATTGTAACTCACAAAGAGTATTTCTTTTAAAAAATATGGATTTCATGAACGAAAGGAGTCAATACCCTATTAATAAATGGATATCAGAACTTTATGACTGATGTTTTCCCGTCCTTTTCTTAAAACAATTATTTCTTTTTATGAATTTCAAGATTGCATACATTCTTTTCTGAATTGTATTATGTTGAATATATTGACACACAAAATAAATATGTTTTTTACACATACCGTACCAGTGTTAGTGTAGAAAGCCTGTGTAACCCTCTGATGGAAAGGAAGATCTTATCTTCTGGACAGCACATGCTGTTAGGGGAACTCTAACATTCCTACCAAGGTAGCCCCAGCACCAACGCACAAATTGTCTATACGCTGTATATCTATTCCTTCTGTAAAGAGAGATATTTGTTTTTACTAGGAACACCAGATAATTTCATCACATTGTAACATTGAGTGTGTGAAGTGAAAATTTATTATGTCATTTCAAATTATGGATTATGCATGTTTCAGTTTGAAGTAAAAAATAAATGTAGAAAAATCACTATCTTACTCCTCACTGCTGGTCTGTAACTCTCCATACTGTGCACGGTACTGGAAGTATGCACATACACATCTAGGCACACAGAAGAAAAACCTGGATGTTCAGTAATGCAGGAGAGCTTCTTGTCATAGGAATCCTTTTTGCTGTTGACTCGGTCAATCTCGCAGCAGCAAACACTCTCCCTTGGTGTAGGCATGTGGACACAGAAACCACATGTACACCTAAAAGAATAATCGGATATTTCAGAATTTTTTTTTGTTGATTTTAAATTGTTAAGTAAAATTGATTGATACAAATAATGGCAATTCAGTCTAGAAACAGCATCTACAGTTTGGTGTCATCATTCATTTTCCCTCTTAGTTTGAAATCAGCGGAGGCAGTCATATTATTTATGTGCGATTAGGTGGGAAAAGAATTTGTGCTAAAAATAAACTGGGGGGGGGGGTGAATTTATTCACTTGCCCTATTTACAGAGTAACATACATAATACTAGAGACAAAATTATTAATGTGTATGAAAATACATTGTCCTTTTTTTTTCTTGCAATCAGACTCTCCCAGACTGAATTAAGTGACACATATATTTTTTTTTTAATTTTATTTTAATATTTATTTCATCTTTTAATTGCACTGTTAAAATGTATTTTTATGTCTGGGATAACTCCAGGGCACCTACATTTCAGTTATTTGACCAGTCTGAAATATCTTAGCAGGACTTGTACATAAACAGAGGAATGGAGTAAAATTCGGATTAAGAGGGAAAACGGACGATTGTTTCTAAACATAAAACACAAGGTTTAAAAAAAACATGGACAATTTATTAAAAAACATTTTGTCTGCCAATATGGAGAGAACATCCAAGTTTCGTGAAGTCAGATACAGTATTTCTTTTTTACCACACTGATCGTGCCGATAGTCTATAGTTATAGGGATACAACAGAATTTCGATAGAATTTCGATGTTTACTTTTTCAAATTCTTTGTCACAGAAATTTATCAATATCAAGTGCAATAATTCTATCATAAATAAATAAATACCAGTCGGTGTTGCCTAGTCTTTGCTGTTCCTCATCGCTCCCCCCAAGCAAGGAGTTCTGCTCGTCCGATTCGGAAGCATTGGGCTCAAACTGGTAAGGAACGATGTCTTGTATGTCTTCCCCATCGGTGTCGTAAAAAGAGGATACGTCAAAAGACATATTCAGTCCGATGTCAGAGGAGCTTGACGATCTTCTATCGCTTAAATTATCACTGGCCATTTTGAAACTGAAGTGTTGTGTCGTCACAGGCTCCAATTGCTATTTATAGTAAAAGCGGAAGTGCCGTTGATTGGTTTTCGGCAAGTGCGAAAATAAGCAACTTTGACCGCGGATAACTTGCTTATTAAGGCACGTAGAAAGGTGAAACTTTCGAATAATTTTTTTTATAAATAAAAATGCATCATTTAAATTGAACTTGTTAAATATATGAAGATAACGAACAGTATTCAGGATCAAAAGTCCATCAAACAATACAAAATAGGAGCAGAGCAAACACGGACCTCCAAACATAAGAGGTGGGATCAGGTGCCATGGAGGGGTGAGTATCCCCTGTCGACCGGTCACACCTGCCGTGTGCTCCTTGTCATGATCGGGAAATAACGGAAAATTCCGTCGACAATTCAATGTGTAAATAATGGCCTAACAATTGTATGAAAAACGTCAGTCAGCATTTGACTCAATGATAAATTGTATTTGCTGACAAGGTCATTGTATCGACCATAGAACTTACGAAATGATGACTTTAAACGAGACAGCTGATATTCTTGTTTCATGAACGTGTTTGTCAATAATTAACCCAGTTTTAGAAATTATCCATACGTAGAGCATGCTCTTGCGTATCGGATCAACTGAGAGATATACAACTCATATGCAAATGATAAGGGTATATTGCTGCATAAGTAAGGGAAGTTGACGATTGAAAAGTTAAAGTCATCACGTTTATCATAAAGCTTAGTTGTTAGATTACCATTAACGTCTTTTTCAAGTAAAATATCCAAATATGAAACAGATGTGTCAGACTCTGTGGTATCTTTTATCTCAAGCTCACAATGATATATCGTATCGACATAAGAATGAAAATAGCCATTGTTAATTGCCAATACGTCGTCGATATATCTAAATGTCGAGTTGAAGGCCACAGCAAGTGTTTTCTTCTTTTCACGTACAAGATTTTGGACAAGTTCTGCTTCATATGAATACAAAAAAGGGTTTGCTAAGAACGGGGCGCAATTGGTACCCATGGGAATTCCAATAGATTGTTGGAAGACCTGGTCTCCAAAAACCACATAGATATTGTCAATTAGAAACTCAAGCATCTTCTTAATGTCAACTTCAGAGTACTTGTGTGTACAATCAGAATGTTTTTTTTAACAAAATAATTTTGCAAATGACCAATGACAAGGTAAGTAAATTTACGAGTTCCATTTTTATTGAAAAAGCAGCTGTCAATGATATCAAAAAGCCTGGATTTCAATTTATCGTGGGAATGGTTGTGTATAAAGTTGAAAAGTCGTAAGTTTTAAAGCTGTTGATTTTGGTAAAATCTTGTGATTTCAAATTTTCCAAAAGTTCCTTGAAATTTTTTAAGTATCCACATCTGATTTACACCACTTCTGAAATATATTGTTGTACAGTACTCTTGAAGTTTCTCCTTGACTACTGTTAATATCTTAGTGAGGAGTAAAGAAAGAGGCTTGGTTGAACATTAACTGGAACCCGCTATGTATCTTTGTTTGTAAGGATTTTTATGAAGTTTCGGATTCCAATATAAATATGGTAATTCAAATTCATTTTGGTTGTTTGGAATATTAAAAATATTCAAAACTGACATATGATTTTGAAGAATTTCTTCCTTAGAAAGGGAAATATGAGTATAAGTTGGATTACCACTTGTAGAATTAAATCCAAGTTCCTCTAAAATACATTTAATATAATGAGCCTTACAAACAAAGACAATGTTGTTACCTGCTTTGTCAGCAGGGACCAGTACGTATTGATCATGTAATCTATCTAATTCTTTTTTCACTTCTGGATTATTGAATACAGAAGGATAAATGGTTCTCATATTGCCCCTCAATCTTTATATGCGTGATTTTAACATACATCTGATACATTTAATCCATTCTGACAAAGTGTCAAGGTCTTCTTTTTCATGTCTGGCCCATCGCCTGGCGTAGTCCTCTACAGAATCCATAATATTTATGAAATTCTTACGCCAGTTGAAGGATCTAGGTTCCCTAAATTTAGGACCTTTTAAAATTAGTGATCTAAGGTCCTCATTATTAACTATATTTATGTCACCAGTAATAACGTGTCCAGCAGGACTATAGTTATAGGGTGAAGAAGAACATGAACACGATGGAGGATTATTTCAGATATTCGATATCCAGGCCCTGTAAAGTTTTCTTGTAATTAAAAAGTTTGGAAGCAATAGTCGATGTATATTTGTAGGAAATACAAGGTGTAGTCTTCAACTTGAAATATGGTGGAATACAAGACTGGACCCCTTTGTGATTAAGAATATTACTTATATAAACCGCGTCAATTCCTGTGTTGGCATATTGAAGTTTAAGGAAAAAAACGGATTGTTTTAGCTGCATTTTCCTCAGTAAAACGTGGGGGTTTAAAAAGCCTATGATTTGCAATATCCATAATCACAAATCCGAGCCTATATTCTGGTGTCGAGGAATCAAAAAATGTACTTTGACTTCGCAGACACTTTAAATTTGAAAAACCTAGGTGTTTATGTATTTTGATATATTATGCAAAAAGTGATGATGTAGGTACTGTAGTTCAAACATTCAAACAACAGCTGTGGCGTCTTCAAAGGACTACTCCTCACGGATAGGCCAGCAAATACAAAACGATAGCATTTCCAGAGAATTGACTAGTATATTCTATCGTCTCTAGATGGTAATATGGGTTATAAAATAGACATTGAACGCTTATACCTATTACTTAACTTTTTCATATTTTATTTTTTCAAA